AAAAAAAATCAAATAAGTTTGAAAGGACGATATGCTGAAACGTAACTTACAAATTAACATTGTGATATCAATTTATTCTATTGATATCTTTATTTTTATAATTTTTATAATAATAATTATTATAAATTGTTATAATGGAACTGTAATTAAAACATTTTATTGTAAATTTTGATGTGTAATTGTGTATGTTTTACGTATTTGATAATTTAGGGGTTTTTTGTTTTCAGAAATGAAGCTGTTAATGCCCGGAGTCACTAAGGCATTTTTCTTCCATATCATCATATCAATTACATGCACTTCTGCACTTCCTCTGCATCTTGAGGCAAAAGACGTTTGTGAGGAAATTGGAAAACAAACTATGCAGTGTTGCTTTCATAACAGAAAAAATAATAGAAATAGAGATATCTGTTTAAGAACTGAAGAAGAGACAAGAAACACATGCTACGAGTTTCAAAATAATTCGAAAAAAAATCTTATGAAAAAGTACACGGAGTTCGTAAATTTTAAAAGTGATAACTATATATCAAAGAAAATTGTTTTTATCTGTACAAACGTTTGGAAGTATTCAATAGATATTTCTATTCATAACTCATTTATGGACAAAAATACAATAAAAAATGGTTCTAGAATGGCAAACGAAACCGAAACAAATTGTTCTGAAGGTTTAAGACAAATATTTTTAGATGCATTCAAAAATTTTATTTAATCCTCTCTGCTTAGAATTTTTTATGTCAAATTTTAAACGAAAATTAAAAAATAGACCCCATTTCAGAATCTAGTAAATGTATGTACATTAACAATGAAACAAATTATACACACCTTTTTAAGGCATGTTGTACATACAAAATTGATTCGAGATAAGAGATGATGTAATTTATATAAGGCGAGGAAAAGAGATGTTGACTTCAGTGTGTTAAAAAAAATCCATGGAGAAACCTTCAAATGATTGCGAGAAAGAGAAATGTTGATGTCAGCGTGTGAAGAATAAAAAATTCCACAGAGAAACCTTCAAATGAATATTTATTACGATTGTCCGATATACCGGTATAATAGACAAGGAGAACATGGCGGCTGTGCCCAGTCTTAAGGGGATGCTTACTTCTCCATGGCACCTAATCCAACCTCTGATATTTCTGGAGATTCCTGTTTGATCTGCTCCAATTATATATTGTTTCTATGAACTTTTGAGTTGGATATTAACTGTTCGTTTTCTCCATATTTCAACTCAGCATAGTGGAATATGAAGCAAAAAAAAGAGAGACACACGGTTAAAAAGACTAGATGAAAAAAGGGAGGATCCACAACGGAGATGTTTAAGAGATCCGTGTTTACACTGCTTCAGATTTGTAATGTTTTAATGGAATTTTGTGCTTGGATATTGTTCGTTATCTCCATATTTCAATTAAAAGGTCAGATTGGAATATGAAGCAGGAAAAGAGGCACAAGGTGAAAAAGACCTGTCAGAGAAGAAAAGGGATGATCCACCTCAAAGGTCCGTGTTTGCTCTGCTCATTATTTGTTTTCAGAATGGACTCTAGTGCTTGAATACTGTTCGTTATCTCCATTTTCGATGAAAATTCGGGGATGAATAGCACGTGCATACAGGAACACTTAAAAGAAATTGGTTGTCAAGGCATATTTGTGTGCATGGCATTCTGTCTACTGTTTGTGCTTAACCGTTGACAACATAAAAACATAAGAAATTCAAACATCTGGCGCTCGGGGAAAAAACTGGAAAGAAAGGAAAAACTAAAGCAAAAAAAAAAAAAGAAAAAAAAAACAAAAAACAAAACAAAACAAAAAAAAAACAACAAAATAAAATAAAACAAAACAAAAACAGATCAACAAAAACAAAAACAAACAAACAGCCAAAAACAAGAAAAATAACAGATCACAACAACAAGAACAACAACAGAAGGAAGGTAAACTTCAAAAATTAAACATGTTGCTCTCTTACTTCAATCCTCCTTTTTGACATACCTACCAAACAATTAAGTGCATGTTATAAATACATGCAACTACATACAGATACTTGTACATTGTCCATTGAAAAGATGATATTTGCCGATTGTGTTTGAAAGTTGGAAGATTAAACTTACACCAGTAAAAATACATAAAAAAAATTGCTTCTTATCTTTCTTAACTTTTTGTAATCTAGATGAATTTGACGATCAAGGAAATTTATTTAGAAATTCTATCAGTATATTCATTCCAGAATTACACGGTTTACGGCATTTTATATTTCTTGCAGACTTGTTTTTAAGAGACAGATGCAAAAGCTTACGAATAAAAAGAAAATGTAATCTTGTACTGTGAAATCCTACAAGTGCTTTGCAATGGAAAACAAGTGGAAAGTGGTGCAAATGTACAAAAGACGTTCTATAATAGGCATGCTTTCTATATGTAGTACTGTAGTAATCAATTTGAATGTACATGTTTGTTTTAGTATTGCATTTGTAATGTTTCAAATCAAATGATAATAATTTATATAATTATTTTGTTTCTTTGTTATTTCTTGTTTTTTTTTCCTTGGTGTGTGTGTAACTTCCTTTTGTACTGCAATACTTCATATATATCATGATATATGAACTATTTTATTTCATATGTTTCTTATGTCAATACTATATATCCTGGTGAGCTTGAGATAAAAGATACCACAGAGTCTGACACATTTGTTTCATATTTGGATATTTTACTTGAAAAAGACGTTAATAGTAATCTAACAGCAAAGCTCTCTGATAAACGTTTTGACTTTTGATAAATTTTTGATAAACTTTTCTGTCGTCAACTTCCTGTACTTGTAAGGCAATATACCCTCATCACCTGCATACGGTGTTTATATATCTCAGTTGATTCGATGCGCAAGAGCATGCTCTACGTACGAACAGTTTCTAAAACGAGGTTTATTATTGACAAACAAGTTGATGAAACAAAAATATCAGCAGTCTCGTTTAAAGTCATCATTTCGTAAGTTCTATGGTCGATACAATGACCTTGTCAGCAAATACAATTTTTCATTGAGTCAAATGCTGACTGGCGTTTTTCATACTAATTGTTAGTCCATTATTTATACACCGAATTGACAACGGATTTTTCCGTTATTTCCCAATCATGACAAGGTGCACACGGCGGGTGTGACCGGTCGGCAAGGAATGCTCACTCCTCCATGGCACCTGATCCCACCTCTGATGTTTTAGAGGTCCGTGTTTGCTCCGCTCAAATTTTGTATTGTTTTATGGATACTGTTCCTCATCACCATACATGTATGTGTCATGGAATCATACTTAATGGTACATGTTGGTACATGTATGTCTTCATTAAAATACCATTTGACTTCAACTTGTAAAATGCAGACATCAAAAAATAACACAATTCAGTAATATCAATATCTTGATCAATGTTTCTAGCATCTCATTATACCTGGATTCTACTATATGTCTACTGATAATTTATACACGCAAAGGTCTGAACAAGATCAATGTTTTAATTGATACCTGATTAAAAAAAAAAAATCTTCAAATGTGAGCATTATTATCTGTCATTATTAAAATTCTTATTGGTCTTATTATTTTTCAAACAATGGTCAATATTCAACCAAATGATTGCCATGTTTTACAAAATGTTCACTATAAATTAGACAATTGAAACCATTGAAACATCAATTGATTTGTCAGTTGCGAATGTACTTTTCAAAATATTGATTATAGCCAAAAAATTCTCCCGAGTAATAAATCAGTCGTGAGATATAAACAGCATATACAGTGATAATTCAGATGGTAGGTGTTCCCTTTGTGATCAGAAGGCAGTGAGTTCGAATCTCGGCCGCAACTAACTTCTTAGTCAATAAAAAAAATAGGTGTTAACTGTTCCTTTGCCATGTGCTCGGCACTTTGAAGTGAGCACTGTGGGTCCTTTGCATAAATCCTTAAAAAACTAGGTCCCGTGTTGCAGAAGGCATCAGCAGGATAAAGATCCCTCATTGCCAAATGGCCCTAGTGCCAAGTAAAGATCTAAATTTGAAGCCCTCTACCGGCCAATGGTGACATCTCTATACGAGTAAAAATTCTTGAATGGGACCTCAACAAAATACAATTAATCAATCATAATAAAGTGACAAGTTTGCCATTAATGTTTCTCTCCAGTAATTCACCCATTACTGTATACAGGGTTATTTTCGCCCCATGTTATTTTCACCCTTTTGAACTTGTGAACAATATTGCCACTTTTAAAATTTGCCCAATCATAGTTCTGTTTAAGAAATTATGAGGTGTAATTTGAATTCGCCCCATTTTAAATTCGCCCAATCAAGGAGAGGGTGAAAGGGGTGAAAATAAAATGGGCGCAAAAATTTCCCTGTATACAGCATTCAAATCAGGAAAAATTATGCACTGTTTAAAATTATGTTTCCCAATCTTGTCTTTTTAAAGTCTTGACCATAATATCTCAGTATCACACAGAAATAAGTACTACTTATTGTGATTTTCCTTTAATGATATCAAATAGTTGTACATAATTCAACTCTGCATCATACAAGTAATCTTGTTTTTCAAAAAAAAGAAAAATATGTAAATATGTTATTGTTCCCTGCTTCAGGTAAAAAGATTAGGTAAAAAGATCGACCTGCACAAAATGAAAAGAATAAGATTACAGAAAATCAAAGAGACTGGTTAATGGTTCAATACATAGTACTGGACAATGGCTGTATCACTAAATTAAAAATTGATTTCGACTATATCTTATGACAGCGGTTTCTAACCGGAAGAGCTAAAAATGATACACATGCATGAGCATACATGCAGAAACATAAACGAATGTATCTGTACAACTAAACATTAGCATAAATAATACTTTGACACAATAATTGTCAAATACAACACTTTCTCATGAAATATATTACATGTAAGTCTTGCATTCCTCATGAGAAATGCAGAAAAAATTATGTGTACCTAAAATCCATAAAAAAAGATTTAAAAGGTTGTACACTATTCCTCAAGATAATTATTATAACAAACTATAATAACACATCATATTTTACATTGATCATAATCATAATTGTTCTGAATAATATGAAGTTGAATGAAAATGTATGCTTCAACTCAATTTTGATGGATAAAAAATTGGGGGCAATTATACTCTTGAATGGAAATACACACTTCAATCTTATCAGAAGTGTGTATTTTCTTACCCTATTATTTTCTGAATGAGCACAAATTCCTGGTCAGTAAACATAAAACCTTGCACATCATGACTTAAAACTCTTGATATAATTTTAAAATGGAGCTTCCACTGGGCCCATTTCCACATAGACAGATTTAACCTGTGTGTAATAGTCCAATGTGTCAGGGCCATTTTCTCGACCTAACCCTGATTTCTTGTATCCTCCAAAGGGGACCCCCACGGGATAAACATTGTAGTTGTTAATGTAGAGTGACCCTGCCTCTAACGCTGAAGCTACTCGGTATGCTCTCTGAAGGTTGCTGAAAGAGAAATAAATCTTCTTGAATCATACCGAAAGAATAACATGTATACACCACAATTCTACCTATAGACAACTTTCACATTAACAGAAGTTGTTCCCTTTTGCGGGGTCAATCCAGGGTCAACCGGGACAAGGCACTGTTTTCCCTCTATAACCTTACCAACTTTATGGGTCAGTATCTTAGAAATAAAATCTACGTGAGTATGTTCATTATGTTTTTCATGTTGCCCCATACTCTGGCAATACAGATTCAGATCAAAATTGTCCCATAACATTTGAAGATTAAAAATATTAACAGGTAACTTCATAGGCGTAGTCACAGGGGGGGGGGGGGGGGAGGGGGCAGCAGGGGCACTAGCCCCCCCCCCCCACTTTCAGATCTGGGGGGGGGGGGGGCAAGAGTATGTCTGTGCCCCCCCCCCCCACTTATTAATGTAGAACAAAATCACAGCTATGTTGAAATAATATTAAACCTCATTTTATGGCAATTTTTCTTATTTTCAACAACAACAACTGAGTAAGCATTTCTCTTGAAGTAATAGCTGTATAAAATAGTAATGTATTAAATATAGTAATTAAATCTGTCAAGACCTCTTGTGTTCGCCAGTTTGGGATAGGGAGTGTGGGTCATAAATTTAAGTTTAGACGTTTCTGTTTCACTCAGCATCTGTGTGTTATCTAACAAAATTAAATGAGAATCACAAGCTACCCCTTGTACATCTGAAAGTCATTATTTATTTGCTGTATCCCATTTCTTGTATAACACATAGTCACAAAGTAAGTTTTGTCAAACCTTTTGGTATAGCTGTGATGAATGTCAATCAACTTTAAAAACACTATTTGAAATCCTCTCATTCAGCTTAGACAGGGGTTTGATATCACTTTGGCTAGCTGATTTAAGGGGGCGTGAGGGACGCACACCCTTAAAATTTTTAAAGTATGATATGATTAATATTATTAATGCCATACTTTGATACATATCTAACCACTGCCTCTATTTTTGTTTCTGGTTTTACTATTAAACTACAGAAAACTCAAAAGCTTCCAGGGGCTTTGCCCCCTAGGCCCCACCATTCAAAGTGTGATATGACTAATATTATTTCATGCCATACCCCCGTATTACATATCCTGTATTCGCCCTTGGATATTACATGTTGGAGGGTTGGCAATATATAATATAGAATACAACAGAAAACTTAGGTACTATATGCTGGTGCCCCCTCACTAAAACCGTCTGATGACCTTTTTTTTTTTTTGCTTGTCAAAGAATTTCTGGAGTTGAGCCCCCCCCCCCTTTTAAGTTTGTGACTACGCCTCTGAACTTACAAAGGACAAGTTGGAAAAATGAGCGTTAAACCAACAACGGGAGATAACTCTTAGGAATGTGAAATTCGTCTATAACCTTGCCTTTGTTAGTCAAATATTTCTCTGACAATTATATGTTCTCTCCTAATACAATGTAATTCACCCAATTAGCCAAACAACTGCTGATTTTAATTTAGTTCATTTATAATTATTGCTGTACAAATTTAATAGAGTATTATTTTGGCCATTTGAATGACGGCACAGAATTTTTTTTTTAATTTTTACTCTGCTGTACACTTTTAAAATTGTCTAAAATAAATTGTCACATTTGTGAAATAAATTCCATATCCAGCTAACACCATTTCTTGCTGGGAAAGTCCAGAATGCCCTCTTTGTATATGATTAAGTGAACTTTTGATTTATGTTTTACAACACATTAAATAATCTTACTTTGTAAAGATCCCAGCAGCTAGTCCAAACTCTGTATTGTTGGCTCGACTGATGACCTCATCCTCTGTGTCAAAGGTCAATATGGACATGACAGATCCAAAAATCTCATCCTTGACTACGGTCATGTGATCCTCACAGTTGACCAGTATACAGGGGCTGACAAAATATCCCCCCAAACTAGGGTCAGGATGTACTCTCTCACCCCCACACACCACAGACGCACCCTATGATTAGAAAAGATATTGGGCTTAAATGTATAACCCAATACATAGATTTGCAATAATACCATACTGACTTTTGCAGTATACTGTAGATTCCTGTATACACAGAGAATTCAAAATTATTATCTCATAATATTTCACTAGAAGAACCACTCAACAGGAAATAGAAAAATTTATTATACTTCTGTTAAAATGTTTCCTATATAAAGTTCAGAAGGTAAAATAGCTATCTTTCATAGTTCACCCATAGCAAAGCTATACCCTGGGGTATAGTTTTTGCTATCCACCCTCGGAAAAATTTCATGCAATTTTTGCCGCTAATTTAGATTTCCAGCAATAAATCTGTTGACTGATGATGTCATAATGACTTCAGTAGCCTTGTGACATCATCAGGATTTCAGATTATTCTTGCAGTATTATCTTACTCCCAAAAAATTCAAACCTCAGAAATTATATTATACATCAGTATAATAAAACGCTTATCCACTGGGTGTGAGTGGGATAGCTCTTTTATCAAACCCTTGACAGGGACTATTCCCCTCGGGCAAGTCCTCGGGGAATAGTTCCCTGTCGCAGGTTTGATAAAAGAGCTATCCCACTCATGCCTAGTAGATAAGTGTATACTGTTTATTTTTATGGTGCTGCAATCTTTATACATATATATCTTTTAACCTTGAGGAAAGATTTTCACATTTGCAGAAACTCATGGATGCAGATACCTCTTTTTTAGCAATTTCAATGTACTGCATGACTTTGTCAAACTGCTCTTTGCTAATGGTGGCTCCAACGGTTATATCATCATGGAATGGATTTCCAATCTTCATACGTTTGGTCCTTTCTACCAGCTGTGCCAGAAATGGTCCCATAATGCTCTTGTGAACAAACACTCGTGTTCCATTGGAACAAACCTAGAATATTTTGTAATTGCAACATTATACTTCTTTACAATAACAAAGTGGCCTAATTGGCTCAATATGATCAGTAAAATGTACACATAATTTGCTGCAAGCAATTTTTCTTGAATAACATTGTCACCTTCAAATAGGCTATCTTTATTATCTTTTTTTCAGGAATACCAATAATTAGTGATTTCACAACACTTTTCTAAATTCCTGACAAAAAGAGTTTCTTGAAATCTGTTCGATATGAAACTTCATCAATATTTTAACTGGATGCAGTAATCTTAACTGCATAGAAGTGTAAAATTTGAATGAAGATTACAAAAAATCCAAGTCAAATACCCCTTGTCGGTGATCAGCTTTAAGACCTAGTGCTATTTTTGAGTGAAAAACTAAGGAAAATGTGTTAATCACTAAAATGTGTGAAATTATGTCAAATGCATCTGCTTCTGTATAAGGTGACGTGATTTTCAAATGACGTCATAATAGACTTGACGTCTGACTGTAGAAGTAAAATTTTAATTCGCATTGGTTTACTTCGCATTAGGTTTCTTGTGAACGCAATTTAATTTGCATTAGTTTGATTTGCATTAGTTTACTTCCCATTAATTTATTGCAAATTAAACTTTTCATGTGAACAGGGCATAACGTTGGACTTACTTGTCCCTGTGTTAAGAAGTTGGCCAGCATGGCTCCAGATACTGCATTGTGGAGATCAGCATCCTCAAAAATAATACAGGGGGATTTCCCTCCTAATTCCAGAGTTACATGTTTTATATCCTGAAAGTGAGGATACCAGTCTAAAATGTTATTGAAGAAAACTAGCTATAGGGTAAAACTTATCATACAATATGCATTTTATTATTTTAATGAATGTTTTCTGAAAAGATGTTATTTAAAGCACAAATACAAATACCTGTGAAAATTCAATCAGTTTACAATTACATGTACAGATAAACTTTAGTATTTGCAAAGTTCTAAGGACCTGCAAATCTACACTTCTATACCAGTACTTGTTTATAGCTGAAGAAATTTATATCTTACTGTATATTCTTAAATCTTGAAAATGACTATTGGAAAAATGAGCACATTTACATTCAATGGAAGAGAACAAAATACCTTACAGTTTTTGAATTGGTAATTGGGCTTTTGAATGGCCTCAAATACAGACTATGGAGAGCCCTGTACAAAACTGTTACCTTGGCACAGGTTGCCATAATTTTGCTGCCAGTTGGCACACTACCAGTGAATGACACCTTGGCAACATCAGGGTGAGAGGTTATCAGCTGTCCTGTCTCAGTCTCTCCCTATATAATAGACACACACACAAAGTGAGAGCTATTAATATGAATAACATTATACACTGTTGTTATGAGTGTCCTGTACTAAAATACCACATACTTTCAATATTCACTTATTTCATGTCTTTGAGAGGAACAGTCGTGCTCTAAAAAGTTGCCTGTAGTATTTTCAGCTTTGCTCTGCGGTCAATGTATTTATAATATTTTCAAAGACTATGCAGAGCTACCAACATTCTGAAATGACAAATAGTAAGGCGGGGTCCGGGGACCACCTAAGCCCAAAGCCACTGAAGATATTTTGTAAATGGACATGCAATCGGAGCAATTTGAGGCATGTTTCAAATTTTGTTTACTTTAAAACATTGACATGAATACGATCGTCTTCCTTAAACCGAAACACAAGCAAGCGTTGTAAGGATTATGAATATTTAATTATAATAGTAGAAACTGTAGACAGGCCGGTAAAATAAACTTTGATCGAGAAAATCCGTAATCGGAAGAATATAGAGAGAAATCGTAAGGTGTATTTTAGATGCTAATTTTGTAAGACTTACGCCAAAATCGTAAGGGTTGGCAGCTCTGGCTATGTAAAAAATATTAAAAAAGAAAATCATATTCCTCTGAACTCCAGATTATTCAAGGACACTCTTGATACAGTCCAAAGATTACAGTATTACTTTAGTACAAACCTGTATCACACTGTAGCAGCCATCAGGAAGCCCCGCCTCCTTATAAGCTTCTCCTAACATGACAGCTGTCAGAGGGGTCAAAGGTGAAGGTTTAAACACAAAGGTGTTACCACAGGCAAGGGCGGGGCTTGACTTCCAGGAGGCCATCTGAAGGGGGTAATTCCAGGCCCCTATACCCCCCACCACTCCCAGAGGCTCACGGACTGTGTAACTAAAGCTTCCATTGGATAAAGGTAGAAATTCTCCTAAAAATTAAGAAAAGAGTAACAAGGGTAAAAGGTTTACAGACAAAAAAGACATAAGGCCAAAAAAAAATTAATCAATAGTTTCTCAGGCACCGTCGCATCACTTCAAAAATGGCAGCATTGATCAATTTTATTGAAATATTGAAAAGGGAAATAACTCGATTTTCTATTTTTCCAAGTTGATAATTAGTAGACATTATCATTTCAATGAACAAATGGCTGAAAAAAAGGTGTAAAACCTGCTTCCAAAAAAAAAAGAAGAAGAAGAAGCCTGCCTGCCTGCCGCATTGAATTTTGAATTTTTTGGCCTGAGAAACTATTGATTTATTTTTTGGGCCTGAGGCACATTAATGGATGAACACAAACACTTTTAGATAAATTTCCTTTTCAAAAATTCAAAATTACAAAAGTAATTAAAAAAATTCTCTCTGCAATGAATCAGTAATTTTATTTCAAAATAGAATATTTTAAACACCCAATTTTATGTTAACGCCCCCAAAATCTACCTGATTCAAGATCAACAATTTACCGCCTGTCAATCATTAACAAAACAATAACTTCTGATTTGATTGACAGGCCAGCTACCCGTGCTACCTGATAGTCAGAGTTTGTGTCCTTTGAAAACGATTGCCTGGTCATGCGTCAAACACTTTCATGTAGCCGCCTTGTATACACGGGGATTAAAAAAGAATCTTGGTAAAATTTTATTTTAAAAACAATTGAGAGTAGGTAATTAAAACATGACTTCATAAAATATTTGCTTTTAATCTCAATGGCTATAATCGTATTTTAGGCGATATGTTGTCCAAGATATCTGCTCTGTAGAATTTAGATCAGTCCATGCACAGAAATGCTAATTGCTGATTAAAATTGAAATATGATAAATAAGAAAAGATATTTAGCACAAACGGCACGGATAAAAAATTCATTTATCCCATGTTTTATCTACGTATATATTAGTCCGAAAAATCTGACGTTTTCCTGGCTTTTTTACGATTTTGATATTTTACATGCCAGAAAAAATGTTTTCCTGGCATGTAAAATATCAAAATCGTAAAAAAGCCAGGAAAACGTCAGATTTTTCGGACTATGTATATATGAATACAGTCTATAGCATGTTCCGTTGTAAAGTTCTGAAATCTAAGAAACAGCTAGGAGTTTCAAGATTGTAACTTTTAGTTCGAATTTCCTAACATCTGTCAATACCCAATATTCAAAATTAAAAAGTGAATATATACAGCCAAAGATCAATTCTTAAATGTATAAAAGAAATCTTGCAAACAATAAAAAAATTTTTAAACACACGAACACCTGGAAATGGTGAATATTTTCGACACTATTGTTGATCAGAACGTAGGCAATATTCCTATCATGGTACGGTACATTGTATGTGTTCACACGACGGATAGGCCTACCTATGAATGGAATATTTTTTTTTTTTTTTTTTAATTTTGATATTTAAACAAGTTTAATTAAAAAAAGGTATGTTTACTTTGTAGTTTTACTCTGTGTTCTTTTCTTTAATTTGTCATTTTCTTAAAATATAAAAACGATATTTCTGTATATAATTTTTTCTTCATTAGATATCGCTGAAAGTATTTATAAATTTTTTTTTATTGAAATATTTCAATTATTTCAAGTAGTTTCACTCAAATTTAGACACGAAACGGAATATTGACCCTGATCACCAGACACAGACTTCCTGTGTAATGCTACGTGTATATAGATTTTTGACATCTTGGGTATTGGGGGTCTCCAGGTAAATAACACCACTGTTACTAAGACCACTCCCCCTCCTCAGGTAACCGTACGGTAAAAAAAATTGGGTCTTTAAGCCTATTACATTTAGATGTGTATTCCTTACAGCATCTTGGGCAGAAAGAAAATAAATCTCCTAATTTAAGCACATCGCTAAATGATTTGCACAGGTATACATAAATAAGATCATATAGAAAATAATGTGCAACATCCAATCTTAATAACTTTTTCAAAAATCAATTTCCACCAAATCTTGTACTTTTAAATATAATACATTTGCAATATTCCTGCCCTAACCTGAGATCCTGGCAGCTAGTCCCCCGTAGTAATCGATGGTATCGGCACACCCCGCGATATCAAACCTCGCCTCCCAGATTGGTTTCCCTGTATCTAATACCTCAGCCTGGGCAAACTTTTCTAGCTGCTCCTAATCAACATTAAAAAGTCAACTCATTGTCAAGGTATCCATTCTTTTTATCAATATTCTTCTTATCTACAACCATCTTCCACAAAAAATGTTTGCTATACCTTTAAAAAAATTTCCTATATTAATCAATAATCAATACTATTAAAATGCTAACATTTCCAATGTTTTTTCAGAGCAATAATAAACAAGACACCCATGGGCCACATCGCTCACCTGAGCAATGTGGCTAGGAAAAAAGCATAAATCAGTTTATTTTTGAAAAGTTGAAACCCAATAGTGGTCCCAAACAATCCTTAAAAGGGAGAGGGTATGATCTGAACAAACTTGAATCTACACTAACTAAGGATGCTTGCATATTTCTTTGACTACCAGTAGCTTTATTGCCCTTTACATTTGAACTTACACTGTGGCCCCGCCCTACCCCCAGGGGTCATGACTTGAAAAAAATTGAATCTACACTGCCTGAAAATGCTTCCATATGAATAGAGCTATTCATGGCTTTGCTATTTTTGAAAAGAAGTTATTTAAATATTTTTTCTATATGTTTCTATGTAAAACTTGGATTCCATGTTGTGGCCCCGCCCTACCCCCTGGGGTCATGATTTGAACAAAATTGAATGTCCACTACCTGAGAATGCTTCCATAAAAATATGATTATTCATGCCTTTGCTATTCAAGAGAAGAAGATTTTTAAAGAATTTTCCTATATATTTCTATGTAAAACTTTGATCGGCCATTGTGGCCCCGCCCTACCCCTGGGGATCATAATTTGAATAAACTTGAATCTACACTACCTGAGAATGCTTCCCTATAAGTTTCATCTTTCCTGGCACAGTGGTTCTTGAGAAGAAGATTTTTTAAACATGCCATCAAATTTTCACTATTTCTAAATTACATCCCCTTGAATAAGGGCGTGGCCCTTCATTTAAACAAACTTGAATCCCCTCCACCTAAGGATACTTTGTGCCAAGTTTGGTTGAAATTAGCCTAGTGGTTCTTGAGAAGAAGTCGAAAATGTGAAAAATTAATGACAACAACGACGATGACGACAACGACGACAGACAACGGACAAATTTTGATCAGAAAAGGCTCAGGTGAGCTAAAAAGTTGATGATTGAACAGGGAATGAGATGTTGGAATGCTTACTTCAAACAAAGGGCAGGGTCAGCAACATCTCATTTGCATTCATTGACAAAATGAAAAAAAAGGTACATATATAGCAATACATTTATTGACTGTGTTTTCGGTCAAAATGCTTTTTTGTCCACCCCTCAAACTAAACTGTTTGCCCTGGGCCTAAAGACCCATGGAAAATAGTCTTGTTCGTGGGTCTAACAAAACATGCCCTTGAACTCAGTCAATAAATGTATATTATTGCTAGCTCTCTCCCAACTGACTGATTAAAAATTACCCTTATAATGTTTGCTGTTCTCTTTAACACATTGCCCCGTTCAAATCCTGACAGCTTCGACCATGACCTGAAGGACTCCTTGGCCTGACCCACGGCTTCATCAACGTCCTTCTGACCCGAGGAAGGCACTTGTCTTAAAACTTCATCTGCATTGAAAAGCACAAAAATACCTAAGAAATAATTGCTTTCTGGGGGTTGAAAAAAGAAACCAGCCAGTTTAATAAGTTAGACTTCAGATGGCTACCAAACAAATTTTTAAAGATGGCCCAACTAAAATGATGTAAATATTTGGTTTGAATTGTGATGGTTTTGTTTTATTTTTATGTCAGAGTTATTTCGCTTTGTCCGTCTGGGTTGTGTATGCACAAGCCGGGACTGTCGAGCCCGGCCAGTGGGGGTCTTTTAGGGAGCCGTTACTTTATACATGTACAGATCAGATGTACTTTTGGGGATCAGGGCTAAATTATCTGAGATTATAATGGTAAATATCACATTCTCTTGGATTTCAATATTATGATAATGTTTCATACGTAATCTGTTTACAGTTAATCATTACAGAATATAATACCGTATAGCGGGTTTTCTTGGCGGGTGCAAAATTTGGAGTTTTGCCTACTCAGAGGTATGCCAATAATGTTGGCGTAATTTATTTTAAGGGACGCAGGGTTTTAACTCTTTGCAAATGGACACTAAGAAGATTATTGACTATTTTAGCGATTAAAATTTTAGCTATCATCAAAATGCCAAAATTAGCACCCTGCTAAAATAACCTGCTATAGGTATCATTTAAAACACAATTGATTTTAAAACGTGACTAACCCTAGTCGGTCCCATTACAGAATAGATTTTACCTGTTGCTGGATACTTTAAATCGAATTTGTTCGCAGAATCTGTAGGATCACAGCGTTTACCCTGGAGGAAGTTCAAGGGTTGCTGGACCTGGGGGGAGGATCCAGTGACGGACACCACATGTAGACTGCGATGGAAACAACGGACAAACTGACAGGGTCTTAACATCTCCAGTCTGTAAGGAAAAATCAAGCTGAAAAGGTAATAAAAAAATTTCAGACACATGGGATTGAACTCGGGACGCCAGTGTGAAAATTCTAGGAGGTAACCATTTACAATATACACTGAATGACTGATTTTCGTGTGTCTCATACCAATTACCATACATCTCAATTATGGTTTGGGAAAAGCATAAAATACAAGAAATGACATCCAAATTAAGTGACCAAAAAGCAGTGGCATAAAACAAAGGCTTTTGCAACACTTTGGTCTTGGTAGCTCTCTGCTTTGTCTGTCCAATTTTTCTCTGCAACTACACTTGAGAGCATTTGTTAAGTTGTAATATAAATATTTTTAAAAATATGTGCACTAGCCTTTATGGTTTCACCATCAGACATGTTAATTTTTATAGCTTATTTTATAATCTTTATGTCAATTTCTAGTTCTATATCTCAGCCTTTTTTGGCTTTTGTGTATATTTTAAATTGTCTAAAAATAATTTTACATACCTATATTATCATGATTGTAAATGTGCTTTGGTGCTTTATGAAATAATTCAAAGATGTTTCTAAATATATATGTTTATCTCAAACAAATGAAATTTCAGAAATGAAATTAAGTATTCAAATGCCATCTTTAGCATATTAACTTTTCTTATCACGTGTATCATGATTCATGTAAACAAAACGTGATACTGATAAGCACTTTTGGCTAGATCTGTTTGTGTCTGCTATGCAATGTACAATTCTGACCATCAGAAATCTTTAAAAGTAATTTCTTTTTACAATAATTATTTTTGTTTTTCTTTGGTAAAGAGCAGCACTTACCCTTCTCAATTCCTTTTATTTTCTGAGAACTCTAGACTGAAGGAAATTCAGAATATTCACCGGTGAGCTTTTCTACCTTCTTTACTAGAGAGGCGGTCATGGAGGTTGGGTAACTCTGTCTGGAAGTTGACTTATTTCACACATTTTACTTTGTTCTTCAACATTCATTTTTTTAAACTTCTTATATTGCTGTATATAAAAAAAATCTTTCTGATGTTCATTTTTGTTTACTGTGTACCATGTTTAACATGCTTGTTTAATGATTTGTGTTTCACTTTTTAACTTAAAGTTTGTATTCATACCGGCTTAAAATTTTGCAATTTGTAGAACCAGATATATACTACATGTATATTCATATAGATTTACTGCAGGGGCAACCTTACTTATGCTATAGGAAATGCTAATTGAAAGCCTGGTTCCCCCCCCCCCCACTTTCAGTGATTCAGTGATGTACCGAAAATGTAGTATTAGAATTGGTACTGAAAGTAGTTGACACTGAGAAAAGGTTTACCCCCCCCCCTTTCCCCCACGTAATGGGGTTCTCGACTTTGGGCAACTTTTTTTTTTGCTTGTCATCTTTTTTCAGGTAAGTAAAAAAAAATTTTTCTCTGGCTGCCCCCCCCCCCCCCCCCCCACTTTCAAAAACGATGCTACGCGCCTGTACTGTATATCATCTTATTCAATAATTTACTCAGTAATTTTTTTCCAGAGCTACAAGCTAAAATAGTTTTATCTAAGCCTTATGCTTGATCCTTGATCAGTATTAATATAATAAATTTTTTATCACTGATAAATCGATCATGTACAATGTAGGAATATAAGCAGTATGTTGCACATACTTTTTATTTTATTTTATTTAGATTCAATTCAATTCAATTTATTTATTTATTTAAAAAAAAATATTTGATTTTATTTATTAATTGATTGGTTTTTATTATGATTATTAATAAATTTTTGTTTGGTAATTATTTTCAGCTATAGTTGCAAATATTATTTCTATTTTATCACAGTGAATTAAAACAGTTTTAAAATTAAATTTAATAAATTGATTGCCGTTCAGTTATACGTACAGTTAATAAAATAAAATAGCTAAACATAAACCAAAAAAGCACCGAGCTATGTGTTTGTGTATGTGAGGGAGAGCAGGTACATGCATGTGTTTGTATATATGTGGAGCCGTTGTTTTATATCAGGTCGGACTAATAAATACCCCTTCTGTGCCTCATTCATTTAGCCTGCAAGATAGCTACCAAGATGTCATGCATGTACCTACCGTATTGTGCTAAATATATATATTCTCTTTATTTATAGCGATGTACGAACTTTGCAACTGTCTTAACGAACATCAGATGCAGAGTTTCACAATTCTGCAACGCATCTTGTAGCTAGCGCGGCATAATGGGGGAAAACAATTCCAGGGAGAGCTAGAATAACTAATTCATCGGAGCCCGGAGATTAACACAATTGGACAATACACATAGATAAACATAGGGCTATTAAGGTAAGGCTCAGAATATGTTAACAAAATGAAATGTCATTCAAGCATTGCAATGTATTCACGAATGGAGTGTAGTTTTTAATTAAAGTGCACACACACCTAGCAATTTAATCTGCATATACCGCGGTATGCAGACCCCATGTGTCCAGAATGATTGTAATCATCTTAAACAATACATTGTACATATGTAATGTATTTTAAAAATATATATATGTAAAATCCTCCTAATACCACATTACTATATTTAACAGCATTTCTGTTAATCTAAATTTGAATGTGCAGTATTTACCTGAGCTTTAAAAGTAATTTTAACACCCCAGGCAGTAAAACCAACAAAGTGAACAAAGCGTATTATGTAATATTTTCTTTCCTTTTCTTTTTTTATGATTTGTCTCGGAGTTTCTGCATAATCACTTCCTGAAGTTTTTTGTTTTCTTAAAAAAAAAGTAACCATGCAGATCGAATTGTTTTATGTGCATTTTTGGTTACTTTTTAAGGGTGGGAGAGACATGTAGTTAAGGACTTCTCCTAGGTAAAAACATGTAATTCCGTGTAATAGTTATAAATTTTGACGGAAGGTGTCGCTGATTTTGCTGAGAATGGTATTTATTGCCCTTGAACAGTTTTCATCGGAACCCCCCACCCCCACACACAAAAGGTTATACATGTTCGTTGCACTAAAATATTTCAATGTCTCGTTGCACTAAAATATTTCAATGTCTCATTTTCGAAATTCATTGAATACATTTAGCTTTGGCATGGTTACAAAAAAATCAATAAACTTGTTCTTATCAAATAATAGGTCCTTCTCTCATGCATAATCTTAATCGACTTTAATAAAACTTGAAATGCATGCAAGTTATAAAATTCTGTATGTCCATTTTTTATTTTATTTGACTTTTGATATAAATTATGCATGTTCATTATCTAAGCTCATTCCCCCACTTACCCCCTTATAAGTCTGGTACCGACAATTAACTTTTAACTGCAATTTACTTGTGTACCAAATTTTATTAAAATCAGACAAAACTAAAAAGATTGGTATTGGAGGGAATATTTGGACTGCACAATTGTATCCCATTTCAAGTTTTAAAATGACTTATCCATCACATGACCTATAGGTAGTTCCACCTTTGTATGGCCACACAAAGGATTAATTGTTCATGAATATGAAAACCATCTTCCTTGATTAACTATATAAAAAAAAATCCATCTAGACATTAATTATACCCTTTTACATGATTAATACATTTCGTGTTTTTTTTCACTCCAGAAATCCAAGATGTGGCGGAATCTATGGAAATTAGCGCTTGGTACAGACTTCGGAGATGATGAATTTTTCGAACCTTTTACAGCAAGTCTCGTGTACTTCTCGTTTGTAATGGGATTAGGGATCACTCTCCGGATTCTTAATAGAATGTTTTCTCCAGAAGCTTTCAAAGAATACATTGCGGATTTCCTGGCTACAATGGAAATGTGCGCCTATTTCTTTGAGAACAATTTCATTTTTAAGCACTACGGCTCCGTATGGCTGTTTATCGCTGTTGTCATTGAGTGTTTCATCGCCAACAGAACATATTTTGGTGCATCTGAAAATCCGGTAAAAGCTTTTTACCAATTTTGTAACCGCGAAATAGGACTCACTACGGCTATTCTAAAAATAGCAGTACAAACCCTAGCAGGTTTGGCCTCGTATCGTTTGGCAAAATTAGTCTGGTCCCTTGATCTGGTCCCCGACCACAGGGAAAGATTTTACGAACAAGAATGCGCTTCTGACCTTAACGTGACCTTACTTGTGGGCATGTTGGTGGAGTTTGGCGCCACTCTAATTGACACGTGGTTAGGGATGCAAGTGTTGATGAAAAATTCAATAGCAGATGAGTTAATAAAACTTAGCAATGGATCCCTGATGATTGTAATGGGTAAGTGGGGGAGGAAATCAGCCACTAGTGAATAGCAACATGTATCTCATTCTGAATCTGAGTGGTCGATAGTAATCTAGATATTATTAGAATTTTAAAAATAACTCAAGTTATATTTAGAAAATTCGAACACTTACGTGGAAGCAACATATCTAGAATCTTATCCAATAGTGAGTAGTCAAACGATTATTGTGTCTTTCATTGATTTTAATGGCTATATAATTATACATATACAAAGACTTGTACTGAGATCAATATAGAATTCTCCCATGGTTTGTAGTTGGATATTTGATTTCTTTTCTAGCAAAGAGTTGTGTGCTTTCTTTTTCCCGATAATAATTGAAAAACAAAATTTGTAGGAATATAATTATAGTTCATGTATTATCCAACCAAAAGATGTCGGAAATTTCTTTTATTACACATTGTACAAATAAAGCTATCATGTTTTACTACTGTTTCTACATTAATATGAATAAACTTGATTGATTTTATTACTTTCACGCAGAAAACATCATGAAGTCACAACTGTTGATACGAAATCATCTTATCTATAGTTATAATATATATTGTATGTCTGATATCCTCTATAAACTTGTAATAAAGATTTCTATGAAATTTTCCATCTTTTTGTTTTCAAGGTATTAACCTCACCGGGATGTACTTCAATCCAGCTATGGCCACCGGGCACCTATTTGGTTGTAAGGGGGCGGAGGCATGGGAACACTTCGTGGTTTACTGGATCGGCCCGTTCATTGGCTGCTTCCTAGCTATGGTCCTAGACCGGATGTTACACATCGACGCCACTGCAACTGCACTCGACCAATCAAAAAAGAAAGATTAAGCACCATCTTTTCCCCGCAATTTTTTAAACATAGATTCCTATGCATTCCCTACTGACTAATACTTTTTTTATATTGTTAATATGTTGATGTTTTCCCCATAAAGGATTGTTACAGAATATGTGTACATACTTATTGCACATATGTTTTGTCTAACTTCTCGACAATAGAGAAGAATTTACATGTATGTATAAAAATCATTAAGATTCGGAAAACTCGCACGTGACTGAATGGACTTCTCTGAAGGTCCCAGTATTTTTGTACTCAAATATTTGAACTTGTTGATGCATTTATTTTTTTAATAACAGTATGAAAATTGTAGAACTAGGAGCAAACTCGCTTAGTTATACATAATTATATACCCTCCTTTGCAACGTGTCCATAAAAATGTCGTAAATTGACCTTGAAATTACCAAAAAGACTTGAGTGAAGAGAATGACATAGACCCAAATTATAAACAAGAAAGTGTTTCCATTGGTTCTCCATTATAGTTCACACAAAATTTTTTATACCTTTTCTGTCAGTGGGCTCGTAAAATGATCTTGACATACCCTCTGTTCATAAACAATTCTTTTGCAAGTCTGAGCTTTAAACGATTCTCCAGTTACAGTTTGGACAGTTTTCTTCACAGCATGAATCTCTGCCATTAAGTTGACTGGAAAATGACCGAAAGCCTACTGAAATGGGACTGAATGTCAGAGCTATGACCTATAGTGAACCTTCCAAGTCTTTCGGTGAACATTCATTTAACTGAAGTGCAGTTTCATCACAAGTTTTTCCTTTTTTGTCATTGATCTTGAACTTGCCGAATTAACCTTCAATATCATTAATTTTATCATTTTGTCTATAACAAAATCTGTATACTAGTACAATTATTCTTTGTCATCTTAGACTTTCAGTGAGGCGTGGCATTCTCTCTCAAATTCTCAATGGTTAAGAATTTTAATAGCATCAGCAACTTAAAATTGTTGATGACAACGATGCGATGATTTAAACCCCTCCTCTTTGCTGTACGAGACGCCTTAATTGTAAAATTTCTACACTCGTTGACATTCGCCTAATTTTCTATCCTATGCATATTTCAGCAGTTAATGGAAGGCTGTGTAAATATTTTAGACGCTAGTTATGTAAGTTCGAGAATGCTACGCCTTAATGAAAGTCCAAGGATAACAGGGAATTGTACTAAGTATGAGCTTCCATTGATTTTCCATCGTAAATGTACAGCCCGGCCAATTTTTTCATATCAATTTTCTGTCAGTGACCTTAAACTTGTCGTGATGACCTTGGGTGTAGGTCTGGACATGTTCTCTGGAAATAAGAATCTGTACAAAGTATGGGTTTCCAAAGGTTCTATATTACAAAGTTATTGTCCAGACAAGATTGCACGGCTAGAGGGACCAACACGAACGGACGAACAAGTTGGTTTTTCTATATTCCCATCCCTGAACTTCAATTACAGGGAATATTATTATAGAATTATAATGTACAACGTGTATTAAGATTTTTCAAAAATGTTAACGCTAAATGAGATTACTGAAAGCCCTGTAACATCAACTTTTTTTCAGTAGCTTGATAAATCGTACGGTTACGACGCCTTTGCCAAATATAAAACATTTGTGGTAGATTCAGTGTTTTTTTTTTTTAATTTTGGGTCCTCTGGGAAAAAGAATTAACACACAAATGTAAGTAAATAATTTTTTACTAAAACGTTATCGATGTATCTAATGTATTAAACTTAAGTCCAAAGACATACTCCTTCCACATGCAGAAGTTCCAAATTCTGCTTCATGAGAATACCCAAAGCTAGTAAAGTGGACGCATTTTGTGCCAAACAGGAATTCCCTCAGATTATTCCTGAAGTGTCTCCAATTACTTCGTAGATAATACGAATGGTAATCATCGATATCTTTCATGTCATCTTCAGAGTACTGAGTATACAGTTAAGATATAGAATCTGGAAGATGAATAAATCGTAAAGGGTGTTAAGAAAGTTCGTTCCACATTTTTCTTTTATTTTCAAAAAGAAATACGATGAGAAGATATTTACAAGTTGTGATATTTCATGTTTACAGAGTCCATTCTTGCTACTGTTAAGGTTTTAACTGTCTTTTGTTATATCAATAAGGGGAAGGCAGGTATTAAAACAGATGATGTTTTTTCAGAAAAATTAGGGATGACGCATATTTCTGACATATATGAAGCACACAGGTCAAAACATCCTTTCAAATACTATGCAAAACTTATCAAATCTATGGAAAAAAAACTCAAAATGACAAACCTAATTTTCTTTTGAAAACTGATTTAATCGTTCTGATACCTTACTGTCTTCCCACAAACTTTTATTCAAATAGAAAATTTGGTGCAAGATGAAGAAACAACAATAAATTATCCTTTATTTTCACTCAAAATGACCAGCATTTTTATCATTCGTGTGCTTTAAAAGATGTTATATATATTTTCATATGGAAGGAAAATCTTATGATTTCATTCTAGAAATGAATTGCCATAAATCTAAAGCACACTCTTGTGGTTTTGTCAGACTTGAAAATTCATCTCTTTAGTTAAGCACTACTTTGAAATTTTTGAAAATATTTCATCCTGGAACGAACTTTCTTAACACCCCTTATATCCTGTATAGATATGAAAATCGTGCGTTCTGTTTCTATTTTAGAAGTATACATATCCAGCATTGTTTGATTATTTGTGAAGCACGAGGAAGATTTTAAACCAGTGTTGTTCTATTCTCTCTTCAGGGATGTCCGTGTTTTAATATTAAACGAGATTTATCACTGGTGATTATCTTTATATTTTTCCAACATAAAACCGATATTTTTTTATGGTGCTCTCTGCTTATTTTTAATAATTGAGCTATCGCATTACATGCATTACATGTATAATGTGGAATCATTTTAATTTGTACAATCAAGGGGTCTATGTTCGTCGGTAAGCTTAATTTGACTTGTTCGTGGGGACGTAATTTCGTGGGTTACTCGTAAATACGATGGTTCAATGAATCAATATGTTAACAAAATAAACGTTCGTGGGGATGTAAATTCGTGGGAAAGGGTGACCCACAAAATCCACGAACATTGGTCCTCCGAGAACAATGATCACCCCTACTAATGTGTTCGGAACCTTTTATTTTTCGGTGTTCTGCAAAATATAAAACCCGATGAGTTCAGAGTAGCTCTGGCAGTGGCCCTGGCGAGAGTAAGCGAGACTTCAGCGAGATAGGGTAAATTATTCACGGAAATGTGGCTAGGAAGTGACTAGCATGTGGAGGCATGGTAAACAGAAAAGTTATGTTGCGTTTCAGTTTTCACCACCCTAGAATCAGCTGATAATGTCTGTAGAAATGTACTTCAATCAATCGATCTCTTTTACATTCATTCAGACTTAAATAAGTATTCTCTACAATACAATTTTATGCAGTCTTGAACTAAAATTTCTTTTTGGACAAATATTTTTGCATGGTAACCGGGACTATATTTTTTGGCGTCAGATAAGCAAATGAGGTAGCAGCATGACTTTAACTGACCAATCAGCTGAATGAATATTGCATTATGGGTTACTACGAATACTACAAGAATTTAACGCTTGAAAATAGGAAAACCTTATGGTAAATGAAAAGCTTTTTTAAAAATATTATTTTCATGCTCATAATGACAAACAATTCATTTGTTAAATAAACGGTGGAAGTCTAGGTTTCTGAAAGTCATACTCCAAAAGCGATTTTCGTCTGTATTAATTCCTTTGTTGTACTATCGGTGAATACAATTGCCAGGTGAATTCCCTGGCCGAACACGTGATCCCGAACGTAAACAAAGTTTTGTCCATTTAAATGCTACTCGTTTTCCTTACCCTTGAAGCGCTGGTGTTCTGAGTAAGACGCAAACTACATTTTATTAAACATTTTTTTCCATTTAACAACAAATTAAAAACGCCCCTAACATCTTTCGTGGTTTCTTATCTTTGTATTTTGTTCGTAAGAACATTTTTTTTCATTTTGCACTCCAATAACATGATCGAAGACTGACCTGAACTACGTGTTCGAAGTAAAATGTTATCATGTATTTGGCGTAAGCGTTGCTATTCATTCAACGATTGGTCAGTTTCTCGTGGTAAGATCCTCTGTGCGCATTTATAACAATAGCCATATAAGCCAAACAAAGGTTTGTCAGTGTAGATGATTATGCACAATATTTACCAACGAATCGGTCACTAGTGGGCTCTAATTTTCGCCGAAAGTATATAAGATAAATTGTTATTTTAACACCCCCTCCTTTAGCCACCCTTGTGTTGTTGAAAATCATGAAGGTCTTTCAGAAAGGTCTGGAAACATTTATTACAGGATATGTTTTCAACAGAAACAGGCTATAGCAATGTCATGTTTACTACCAATTTTATTTATAAAACCGGTTCTACCCTATAACCTTTGAATAGATCAACCTAAACCACGTGTCTTGAATTTAAATCACAATAACATTAGTAGGGGTGATGATGATTCTACAGTATTTATAAATGACATCCCTGGTGTTAATAATGAAAGAAATTAAACAATTCATGGAATTTTATTTTTATTTTTTGCATCTAAAACATTGAGACATAAATACATGTACTCATAATTAATATTATAAATCGGAATGCTACTTTTGATTTTGATTTAATCGGAAGGTCTCTAGCTTAGAAAAAAACCTCACTATATAAACAATGTAGTAAAACAAAATACGAAGCGTTTTCTTAATTAAAAAAAAAAAAACAAAAACAACGGAATAAACACTTGTAGAGATCTAAAATAATGCAAAATAAAGCATAATTATTTAATTAAAAACACCGGTGGAAAGCATCTCTCTCTCTCCTTCTGTCTCTCTCTCATTGAATACAATTGCTCAAATTTCTGCTATTCTACACACAAAAAGGAAGCTCTATTAATAACGCTGACACACATCAAGCGCTGGTTTTGATCTTCGAATTATACAGGAAATGACGTAAATGGTGCGTAAAGAAAGGTATGGCTGCTTCAAAAGAAAAAACAAGAAGCCCGTGAATCAAACAACGCTCACCTGTTGCACGGTTACCGGCCAATAGAGGAAATGGCACTGTTTTGTCTACAATTGTCCAAAAATTGACAATCATTGTTTAAAGGGGTGGGGTGCGGGTTAAGGTTCAAACTTCTGTTCACAAGCAGTTTTTTTAATCCATTAGGGCCTACCAAATTACGATCAAAAAGTGGGGAGGGGAATCGATCATAAAATTTCAGTGGAAATTTTCAATTATAAAAGGGTCTTGTTGAAAAAGGAGGGAGCCGAGGGGGGCACTTTAGCACTAAACTCTAACTAATGTGACCCAAATTCCTCTCTTGAAGAATTGTCTCATTTTAAGACATGTTTATAAAAAGGATAAGATGTCCGACTGATTTAATACAGTTCAATTTCTGTTGAGAATGTGTCACCTAGAGCATGTTTACTAAATGTTTTAAAAGTAGCCATTTCACATTTGTTGTTGAAAATATTCTTTGATGATTCACATTTCAGTGGATCGACTGCTTGTAGCTCTCCAAAAGCATTTTTTTAAAGAACATCTTTTTCACAAACCATACCTTCGTTTACTCACGACTCTCCATATCTCAATTATTTTTATGACCACACATACAAACTGATACGTATATCAGTATTAAATATTGCACTAGTACTGTTCTCAACTTTCTCGACTCTCGATACTTTTTACATGGATTCTTTGAGAAATATTGCACTTCCTTAAGTTATGGCTCCCGTTATATAGAACTGAGTGCTTTTTGTCAGAAAAAAATCTTTGGGACTATCAAGACTTCTGTTTCTTTTCCTTTGGTACAGTAAATACGGCAATTTCTTTGACTATCACCCAGGTTTCTTGTTTGTTCGTAATGATGATATTCAAACAGTGAATTTTCTGCTGTTTGGTGATAGATCGAACATTCTCAATTTTAATATCGCCATCTTCAAAATAACCCAGAAGTTTATTATCCTTACACTCCGGCCTTCCGGGCCCGTTTGGAACAGAAGCGAGACTGGCCTCAAGTTTGGCGTAATGAATTTTATCACCCGGGTGAGATTCTGTTCCTGTCTGTATGATTATTTTGTCCAGAAGTTGCGGCTCTTCGAACACTACCGAGACCCAATCGTTTGCTTTCCCAATCCTTTTACTCCAGAATACACCGTCTTCCTTGCTGTACGCTTTGTCGGGGTTAAAATATCCCTCGAACGGCATATTGGTGTAGATCCTGGCGGTAGGGTTATCGCCCTTTAAGGTTTTGGGGTGGGCCAAAAAGAAGCGATCTTTGAGAGGTTGTATTTTACCCGGAAGTGACGAGTGATAGCCTACATGTTCAAATATGGTTGGTCGACGAATCCGTCGCTTAAATTGCAACATTTGTACATTGAAATTCAAATATGTTACGTCACAAGGCTGTTGTGCGTAAAACAGAAGCACCATTTTGGCAAGTTTTTCAATATCCCAGGAGTGGTATAACTTTCCTATAAAGCCTAGTTCTGAGAATTCTAAACACACCCAGCGGTCCTTGACCTTGTTTATGTATTCTTTAATGATGGTTAAATAACCTGGTATCGTGTAAATATCATCTTCTAACTGAATGTAATACGTTGCGAGAACTTGACTATACAGAAACAAGAATGCGTAATCTACATTCTGCTTAGCCCGCCATTTTTTCTTGGTCTCCGGATCTACAAACGTGTGTTTTAAATTATCCAATGGCGGATAAAAGGACTCCCATGCTTGGATCACGTGCAGGGTGCCCTTGGAGATAATGTTTTGAAAGTTTTTTCGCAATCGATTGCTTATATCTTCCTTCCATTTTGCGTCAAAATCTGCGAGGAAGACTACAATGTAAATTTCCGAAAGTTCGTGTTCTTTCGTGCAGTTCACTATGGATTGCACCGTGTTCAGAATGTATTCGTCTTTCTCACGTTTTACTGTCGGTATCCCAATCGTCAAGAACCCTACATAAGGCAAAACATTTCATTAGTAAACTTGCTACCAAAAATTCTTGACATCTCTATAATCATACATGAATATGTTTACCCGTATACTGAACGATCATGACAATAAAAGTATCGTTTTACGCTGGGTGCCCATGACCGTTTTGGTAACTCTAGAAAACAAATTAGCATCTGAATATATTGAGAGGTTAGAGTGCATCAGAAAAATGGTTTTAAGTTTCAAGTTTTGTAACTGAAATGATTTCTATATTAATGTCTTACTTTGTTTGTTACTGGCGTTCTGTATAATGCGGGCATCAGCTCTCCAGTTTGCCCGCAGCTTCGTGAGATCTACTGATGGCTGTAAATGAAAATATATGTATTAATAAATTCTTTAGAGGTTTAATAAAATTTCAGAAATTAGCATCACCGTACATGATTTAATGCCAAGTGTTAAGTTTTTCAGAAGTAGGTCAAACATTAAAGTTGAGGTCAAGATAAAAAAAAAACTTGGTTCCTTGTGAAAGGCCTTGTCATAAGAAATATACATGTGAAATACATGTATGAAAGCCTTACCACAACTGTTCAGAAGTTGTGAGATTGGTTAAAGATTTTTTTTTAACGGAAAGGTCAAGGTCATAATGTTAAAAAAAACAATGGTACCCAAAGAAAGGTCTTGACAGAAGACAAGAGGCCCATGGGCCACATCGCTCACCTGAGCACTAAGGGTAGGAAAAAGTAGAAAATGGTTTTTAGTCAGACTTATTGCTCAGAGAGCAATTGCCGGCTTATTAGCCGGGCTTATTGCTCAAAGAGCAATTGCCGGCTTATGTGATCCTGTTCAAGGCAGGATGTTGACCCAACAGTCGCCATTTTAAAGTTACGTGCAAAAATATAGTTCTTACTCTCAACCGCTTTTGAGATAATACAAACGCTAAATAAAGCAACAAAAATAAAACGAAGTTTTATCTATATAAAATAAACATTAGTAGTAATGACTTTGAAAACTTCATAAGTCAAAGAACATAGTTCATTAGCGTAAGGATTTTTGATAATCAGTGTTACCGTAGTTCTCTACACATACGAGGTAAAGCAGGAGAGGGAACCAGAATGGCCTGTTTGTTTACATTCAGCTGCGGTACCAGATTAATTCTGATTCTGACAAAATCGGACCGTGGTATTAGGATTGAAAAACTCACAGCCAGTGTCTTATCATTTATATTGATAGTTTTAAAATGATTTTTTCATCAGAATATAAACGTGATTCATGTAGGAAATCCATTCTACTCTGTAAATGAGCCCGGCTCTCTGTACTTCTGAGTACTTTGATGTCATCCTGTTCAAGGCAGGAAGTCAACCCCATAGTCGCCATTTTAAAGTTACGTGCAAAAATATAGTTCTAACTCTCAACTGCTTTTGAGATAATAAAAACGCTAAATAAAGCAACAAAAATAAAACAAGGTTTTATCTATATAAATAAAAATTAGTAGTAATGACTTTGAAAACTTCAGTCCTAAGCCAAAGAACATAGTTCATTAGCGTAAGGATTTTTGATAATCAGTGTAATCGTAGTTCTCTACACATAAGAGGTAAAGCAGGAGAGGGAACCAGACTGGCCTGTTTGTTTACATTCAGCTGAGGTACCAGATTAATTCTGATTCTGACAAAATCGGACCGTGGTATTAGGATTGAAAAACTCACTGTCAGTGTCTTATCATTTATATTGATAGTTTTAAAACAATTTTTTCATCAGAATATAAACGTGATTCATGTAAGAAATTCATTCTACTCTGTAAATGAGCCCGTCTCTCTGTACTTCTGAATACTTTGATTTATTGTAAAGTTTAAATCCAAAAGTAGTCCCAAGACCAATCATGGATTTGCTATTTTTTAGAAAATGATTTTTAAAGAATTTTCCTATATATATCTTTGAAAACTTTGGTCGGCCATTTTGGCCCCGCCTTACCCCCGGGGGTCATGATTTGAAGAAAGTTGAATCCACACTACCTGAGAATTCTTCCATATAAATATGATGAATTATGGCTTTGTCATTCTTGAGAAGAAGATTTTTAAAGAATTTTCCTATATATTTCTATGTAAAACTTTGGTCGGCCATTTTGGCCCCGCCCTACCCCCGGGGGTCATGATTTGAACAAACTTGAATCTACACTACCTGAGCATGCTTCCATATAAATATGATGAATTATGGCTTTGTCATTCTTGAGAAGAAGATTTTTAAAGAATTTTCCTATATATTTCTATGTAAAACTTTGGTCGGCCATTTCGGCCCCACCCTACCCCCAGGGGTCATGATTTGAACAAACTTGAATCTACACTATCTGAGCATGCTTCCATATAAATATGATGAATTATGGCTTTGTCATTCTTGAGAAGAAGATTTTTAAAGAAATTTCCTATATATTTCTATGTAAAACTTTGGTCGGCCATTTTGGCCCCCCTACCCCCGGGGGTCATGATTTGAACAAATTTGAATCTACACTACCTGAGCATGCTTCCATATATATATGATGAATTATGGCTTTGTCATTCTTGAGAAGAAGATTTTTAAAGAATTTCCCTATATATTTCTATGTAAAACTTTGGTCGGCCATTTCGGCCCCACCCTACCCCCAGGGGTCATGATTTGAACAAAATTGAATCTACACTACCTGAGCATGCTTCCATATAAATATGATGAATTATGGCTTTGTCATTCTTGAGAAGAAGATTTTTAAAGAAATTTCCTATAGGCCTATATTTCTATGTAAAACTTTGGTCGGCCATTTTGGCCCCGCCCTACCCCGGGGGTCATGATTTGAACAAACTTGAATCTACACTACCTGAGCATGCTTCCATATATATATGATGAATTATGGCTTTGTCATTCTTGAGAAGAAGATTTTTAAAGAATTTTCCAATATATTTCTATGTAAAACTTTGGTCGGCCATTTTGGCCCCGCCCTACCCCCAGGGGTCATGATTTGAACAAATTTGAATCTACACTACCTGAGCATGCTTCCATATAAATATGATGAATTATGGCTTTGTCATTCTTGAGAAGAAGATTTTTAAAGAATTTTCCTATATATTTCTATGTAAAACTTTGGTCGGCCATTTTGGCCCCGCCCTACCCCCGGGGGTCATGATTTGTACAAAATTGAATCTACACTACCTGAGGATGTTTCTCCATAAGTTTCATCTTTCCTGGCACAGTGGTTCTTGAGAAGAAGATTTTTAAACTATGCCACCAAATTTTCATTTATTCCCAATTATCTCCCCTTGAATGAGTGCATGGCCCTTCATTTGAACAAACTTGAATCCCCTTTACCTAAGGACACTTTGTGGCAAGTTTGGTTGAAATTGGCCCAGTGGTTCTTGAGAAGAAGTCGAAAATGTGAAAAGTTTACATACAGACGGACAGACAGCTAGACAGACAGACGGACGCCGGACAAAATGTGATCAGAAAAGCTCACTTGAGCTTTCAGCTCAGGTGAGCTAAAAAACGTGTCGAATTTGAAAGCCTTTACTTTAATTCTCAGAAGTTAGGCAAAGACTAACCTTGGTTTAAGTTTTACATAAATATGAACTTAGATAAAATTAAATATTAAATATTAAACTTACATATAATATAGGCCCAGGTCATTAGCTCAATATTGTAATTAACCAATAAAAACGTCTAAAAAGTAAACTTTAGCAAAACTGTTAAAACATTTTAGGCAAGTTTAAAATTGTTATTCAGTTTTATTTGATAGGGTCCCTAGACCATCTTTAAATAATGTTTGCTTGCCCTCTCCCGACTCAGGGTAACATTGAGTCGGTAGGTATTTGGGAAATTCTTTTTCAACAAGAAAATTTCAACATATTTGATGACGGGATGAATAAAAATATCGTGCCCTGGAATGCAGAGAAAGGTTTTTAGTCGGGTCATTTTTAGCCAGTCCGTCAGGAGAAGGCAACCAAACATTTTTTTATAAAGATGGCCTTATGTATATGTAAGTATTCCGGTTTAGAATATGCCCTGTTATGATATGGAACTCTTTTGATCTACATGATTTTAGAACTTGTAGTATGCAGTCCCCGTAAAAAAGTCCCTTTCAAATGTGTTACCTGGTGTGTAAGAAGTTTTAATATGACAGGTGCTGGCATGCGTTACCTGGTTTAAGAAGTCTTGATATGACACTTGTCTTGGTACATAGTCCTTAACATCACTTCCTGGCAACACGTCCTTTGTGTTGGTAGAAAAATCTAAAGAGGAGATTCTTGTAATTACTTGTCTGAGTTATCTTTTCTCCTCCATATTTATCTCTATAACTCAGAAAATACAGATTTGTGAACTTTGTGATTTCTTAAGCCCTTGCTAAGCAATTTCAGAATTATCCTTCAAAACTTATAACTAGCACGGTAGCTCAGTTCGCCAGTCGGTAGAGCGCCGCGTGATCGGGAGTCGTGTGTTCGAATCGAATCACGGTCGCGACTGACCTAAATAAAGAAAAAGATAGGAAGAGATTATTTGCAGGTCATTTGATGAGACCTCTCAAAAAAAACCGAGGTCCCGTGGTGTCAAGCAAGGCGCTGGCACGATAAAGATCCCTCACTGTTCAATGGCCCTAAGTGGCATTTAATCAATATTTCTTTTTCTCCTTTCGACAAACCTTGAACGGAGAGTCGCTATCAGATTATTCTGGGGTGTAATAGAAATATACAGAAATTACTGGGTATCTATCTACATGAATGCTTGTGTGTCATTTCTAGAAGGAGTATAACAAAGTGCAACACGATTGCACAGTTTAACAGAATACCGGATATTCCAGTTTACAAAACAATGTAGAAGGTCCAAATATTTCATATACAGACTTCAATTTACTTATATACTAAAAGGGTTCTCACAAATGTTTTGTTGGAATATGATAACAAATCCAGTGGAGTAGTTTCCATGTATTTTTGTATTCCAAAGCATACATCCTTTTCTCTAAAAAATATATTTTTTTAAAATTCGTAGAGGAAATTAAAGAAAGTACCTTGGATTTCAATATTTTTGCTCCATTTTTTTCTAGCATAATCTTTAAGATGCACTTTCAGAGACTTAATCTAACTCCTAAAATATTCCCAATTAAGAATTTAACGGAGCTCCAGATAATTTCTTCTGAACCGGCCAGGGGGGAGGCCTGGGGGGGGAGGTATATGGCGTCAGCCCCCTTGAATGCCACAAGCAAAATGCACCCATTGTGAATACTAGTATGCAAAATATAAATGTTTGTTGTCCATAATCCACTGCATTTGTTTGGCATCCGTATTAATCATTTGTTTTTCTGTTTTACTTTCAAAGCATACCGGGGTATTTCTTTGTTGTCCGTATAACAGTATAACTTGCGAAGCATATAATTATCTTTTTTATCTGCAGAATTTACGTAGCATATAATAATCTGTTTTTCTGTTAAATTTATTGAGCATATAATTATATCTTTTCATCTGCAGAACTTACGGTGCATATAATCTTTTACTTAACGGAGTATATAATTATCTTTTATCTGCTGAACTTACGGACTGTATAATGTTCTCTACCATATCGACCTTCCTATAAATCGTCAAATTTTATTGCCATGAAACGTATTTATTTAAAAATTCCACATTTTTGAGGAACATTGAACTACTTTTTACCATACAAAATTTGGTCAGTATTGGTTCGAATGTTCACAAAGCTATAGATATTGTCTACGACTTTTGGGACAGCCCTCGCATTTATCTGAATTACTTACGGAGCGTATGATTATCTGTTTGGACTACAGCACTTTCTTTTTCGAGTGTTCCTTTGTCTCTGAATGACGTCCATTGTTGTACACCCTGTCAAATAAAACATATCAATAATTCGCCATCATCAATAACAATTGTCTACAGCATGTCTCGGGATACCCTATGGGAAAAGGGGGAAATGTTACTTTATCAATAATAGAAAATTCACTTCCCATTTATCATTGTCATGTGGGCCGTATGATTATTAAGTATTATTGTATACATTTTTATGACTTTTCCGTAATAAAATTTCATTCCATTCATTTCGACGCATATGTCAACTGCAGAACATGAAAGGGTTATATAAAATGCATCCACATTTAAAAAACAAAACAGTAAAATACAATAGAAAGAAGGAAATGTATTAAGTGCACATACATTTTATCCTTATTGAATGTTTTCACCGAAATCTGCTGATAATATTACGCATGTAACTTTAGTATCAGAAGCACCACACTTTTCCCTTGGGAATAAAATAACCATTTGGATTCTTTTTTGCATTGAATATATGCAAAGTTAAGTCTACACAAACCATTTAATCATAACAAAACAGTTAAGTAATTCAATAAAATCAAGTATGTTTCAATTTGACTAAAAATATATCCTGAAAGACGTCCTAATAGTCTAATGCATGGTCACATTACACGTGATGTTGACATATAATGATGAATTTGTGCTATTTTCCACGAATCGATGCTGCTTTTCCGCAGAATTTCAGCGATTTTTACCCTACTTTTCCGCCTTTTTTGTTAACCCTTCAGTTCGCCAACTATAATTTACCGTAAATGATGCCATCGCTCCCACTTTACCGCACTAAAGTAAGACAGGATTTTAAATTCAAAATGTTTTTAGAATGGAAATGAAAAAAAAAATCTGTAAAGTAAAACCGTAACATGTACTTTCAAGAATGCTCAAAAAATTATACAGCAACTAATATATACAGAAAGTTGCCTGGCGTGACCTCTCTTTGAATTATCTTTAAAAATTTCTAAAAGAGAGAGAGAGAGAGAGTACCTGTTTCACCTTTCCATCATTTGGCCATTTATATTCTTTCTGTGACAAGTCTTTTGCTCGAAAAGAAAGTACATCACCTTGAAATAAAAAACACATTTTTTAAAAATTATTTTTAAATGACATATTGGCCTCAATAATATGACAGGTGATTGTATATGGATGTTGGGGGGGGGGGGGGGGGGTGGGGTTCCACAATATTCTCTGATACAATGTATATGTTTGATAGATTAAACAGAACTTGTCTTTTCAGCTAGTGAAAAAGCAAAGAAAAAAACATAGGTAATCAGAGATTACAGAGCTCACCTCAACGAATGTTGTCTTTAAGTAAGGCAAAGTCACACAATTACCCAACAAAAAGTAAACATTCCAAAAATGAAAATATTTTTAAAAGCAATTTTGATCTCATACTTTGAAATAGACCTACATAAAAAATTTAAACTACTTCTTCTTCATGAAAATGTAATGAAAATCCAGCATCTTAAGCAAATTTGAGAGTTTTCATCTCTTGATGCAGCATTTGTGCAAGTTTGGTTTATACAATGTTATATAAGCCTTATAGTTTTAGGTAATAGACCTGCAACCATAACTTTTACCTTGTCTATTATCTGAAAAATGTATGTCCAATTCAGCATCCGAAGCAAGTCTATTAGTGTGCATCCTTAGATGTATCATCCATGCAAGTTTGCTCATTATAGGACTCATAGTTTATTGGAAATGAAACATGCATCAAAACTAACATTTTCACTCATCCTCAAAAAGTAGGTCAGATTCAGCATCCGAAGCAAGCCTGGAAGTATGCATCCTTAGATGTATCATCTATGCAAGATTGGTCATTAAAGAACTCGTAGTTCCTTGGAAATGAAACCTGCACCAAAAACTGTTAACTAATCACTCAACCGGAAAATGTAGGTCAGATTCAGCATCCGAAGCAAGCCTGGTAGTGTGCATCCTTAGATGTATCATCCATGCAAGTTTGGTCAACATAGGGCTTAAAGTTACTTGCAAATGAAACCTGCACCAAAAACATTAACCTGTTCGCTCAACTGGAAAATGTAGGTCAGATTCAGCATCCGAAGCAAGCCCGGTAGTATGCATCCTAAGATGTATCATCCATGCAATTTTGGTCAACATAGGGCTTATAGTTACTTGGAAATGAAACCTGCACCAAAATTTTAACCTGTTCACTTAACCGGAAAATGTAGGTCAGATTCAGCATCCGAAGCAAGCCCGGTAGTATGCATCCTTAGATGTATCATCCATGCAAGTTTGGTCAACATAGGGCTTATAGTTACTTGGAAATGAAACCTGCACCAAAAACATTAACCTGTTCACTCAACCGGAAAATGTAGGTCAGATTCAGCATCCGAAGCAAGCCCGGTAGTATGCATCCTTAGATGTATCAACCATGCAAGTTTGGTCAACATAGGGCTTATAGTTACTTGGAAATGAAACCTACACCAAAAACTTTAACCTGTTCACTCAACCGGAAAATGTAGGTCAGATTCAGCATCCGAAGCAAGCCCGGTAGTATGCATCCTTAGATGTATCATCCATGCAAGTTTGGTCAACATAGGGCTTATAGTTACTTGGAAATGAAACCCACACCAAAAACTGCACCAAAAATGTTAACCTGCTCCAAAAACATTAACCTGGTAATTCCTTTGCTGAAATTGCAGCATCTGAAACTTTGTCTGGTACAATAAAACACACTAAAACCATCTTCCATGCATGTCTAATCAGTAAAGGACACAGAAGTAATTAAAAAGAAAACTGCTCCAAAAAACTTAACCTTAACCTGGGACGCCGACGGTATCACATAAGCTCCCCCCAACTTCGTTGAGGTGAGCTAAAAATGATAAGACATTTATCATGTATTGATTATGATATTCATCTATTCATTTATAATAAGTTTTTATACAGGTTGTTAGATTTCACTTCAGGAAGAGGCGCGGATTATCAATAATACCATCATGATGGATATTATATCACAGATCAGTAGTATCATTAAAGTGTCAAATCACACACCAGTTTTCAAAGTGAGTGATAAAGGTTTAAAATTTAATTTATAGCTACTCATGCACAGAATTAAACATAAAGTGGGCCTACTCTCGCGATCTAACTGTCTTCTTCTTCGCATTATTTGAAAAATCCATTACAGTTTTATTGAATGCTTAAAATAATAATTTTAACTACCATTCTGTCGTGCTAAATACTAATCAAATTTACAGCTAATTAAGTTTTTTTTTAATATTTTGGTGATATTAATGTTTTTCCTTGGAGACGTGTGTTATTTTGAGGGATATGGTACATAGGCAAATCAACAACTGTTGTTAACATGTAAACCAATATGAAGTTCAACCACAGCGCAAATGAGTTAAATATGGGTTTTTCTATGCAAATGAGCTGATAAAAATGCATAAATTGTATATTTTATGTACAGAGAAAGTTTAAATTGATTTTCTTATACATACTTACTCATACTTAGTACCCACAGTATATTCTTGCAAGTGCACATTATGACGTCATATTATGACGTCATAGTTCTTTCCCATTCAAGGTAATAAAACATCAACAAAACAACGTCGGCACAAGGGCATATCCTATTTAATTTAAAATAAATAACGTACAGACTGTGGACAAAAGTATCGGAACGATTTACGTTAGTTTATTTAAGAAATAAGGTATCATTTTTAAACATCTATCGGGATATAGATACGGGTTGGTCACGAGATTAAATTCCATAAAGCCCGAAGGGCTTTATGATGAATTTAATCTCGTACCAACCCGTATTTATAGCCCGATAGATGTTTTAAAATGATACCTTATTACTTATATTTACATTTGTGACTTATTCATACTTTATATTTGCCTCATTGTGGCTTTTAACGTATAAAATGCATTATTTTTCAAACCCAACGGCAAGTATGTAATCCACTGAACGCGCGTCGACCCTTTATGACATCACTGAGAAATTACGTCAAACGATTATCTATACGCACATCTATGACCTCTTGATCCCGTACCTGTATTTATACAGATATAGATACGGATTCCTTTCAGTAGTGTTATATAAAGGAAAACATTTGCAAATGTAAATATTTATTGATGCACATGTTCGCGTTATTTCTAGCTGGCATTTTCGGTGTAGACACAATTTGATGCTACACCTTGGGTATTTTTAGGTTGATGACTACTTCCTGTTTACATTAACTACGTCATTATTTATCGTCTGCAATCTAAAAGTAAGTAAAATCTGTCCCAAAAAATCATGGCTGAGAATCGTCATTATGCATCGGATGGTCTTAAAAAATCCGTTGTTTTATTAGTTCAAAATGGAAATTCTTTTCAAAAAGTTGCAGATATGCTTAAAATGTCTAAAACAACTGTGCATCGAATTTATAAAAATTTTTGTGAACGAGGAACTGTAAAAACTGCCCCGAAAACAGGTAGGAAAAAAAGTTTGAGCGATCGTGACGGGAGAAAAATTTTGCGAGAAGTGAAAACTAACAGGAAAACTCCGCTGGCTGATTTGACGGAAACATTCAACAACAATGAAAACAGAAATGTGTCTAAAAAGACAGATTGGCGATTTTTGAAGAATCAAAAATATCATCGCTGTGTTTGTAAGAAAAAAATAAGGATTTCCCCTGTAAACAGACAGCGGAGAGTAGCATGGTGTCGTGCGAAATCAACATGGACAGACGATGACTGGAAAAAGGTAATTTTTTCAGACGAGAGTCAAGTTGTTATTGGCAGTGACAATAAAGTTTACATCTGGAGAAAAAGTGACGAAGCATTTAGACCAGAGTGCATTTCACCAATTAAAAATAAGAAACTTTCCGTGATGGTTTGGGGTTGCATAACCTATCATGGCGTCGGGACATTAACACGTGTGGAGGGAAACATAAATTCAGATAAATATATGGCCAGTGATAGCAAGACACTTTCCGGACAATAATTATATTTTTCAAGATGATAATGCACCAGTTCATCGGTCTAGGGCAACGAAAGCTTTCATGGAAAACAGCCATATCAATACAATGGAGTGGCCAGCGCAGAGCCCCGATATTAACATCATAGAAAATTTATGGTTAAAGATTAAAAGAAAAATAGAACAATCCATGCATGAAATAACTACTCTGTGGAACAATTATATGATAAAATATTTTCAATTTGGACTCGTTTTGATTGCGTAACAATTCAAAATTTATATCGATCTCTCCCCTCAAGAATCGCCGCGGTACGTAGGGCCAAAGGATACATCACAAAATATTAAGGTAAGTTTTAAAAAATAACCTTTGTTTTAATCAGAGAAATGCAAAATTGTTTCTTCTTTCAGAAAATGTAATTTATATTTATTAGCTTTTACGTAATATGGCTATTTTAAGCATCGAATCAAACGCGAGTATTTTCCAAATATAAAACGACGACGTAAATCGTTCCGATACTTTTGTCCACAGTCTGTATATTATTAAGGAGAATATTCTTAAAATTAATAAAATTGCTGCACAAATCATATCCTCTTCTTCAATCGATAAAAAATTTACTAAACCTACACTGGACTGAACATTTTTACCCTGTTTCAACTTAGAACTGTACGAATAGTAACTAAACAATTGCAGTGTCAACATTTGTGCAGCAATACCTTAAATCGTTGGAATATTCTGCTTTTCTTTCTATCTTGTTTCTGTAAAACAAAGTAAGGTATGCCCTTGCGCTGAAGCGATTTTGTTGATGTTTCGTATAAACTTGTGTAGTAAAGGTTGATGACGTCATAATATGACGTCATAATGTGTACTGGCAATCGCATATCGTGGGTACCAAGAATGTCTTAACAATTTCTTTGCGGTAAGTATAGCAATTATCGGTCTTAATTAATTATTTTGCATAGAAACCTCCATACGTAGCCTTAACTCACTTGCGAGACGGTGAAACCACTGGCCTTTATAAAACTTTGCAAAATGGGGCGTATAATGCAGACAATCTGGGGGTGCAGGGGGTGGGCATTTTTCCAGACACAAGTTTTTTTTACTAAAAGAAAATTCCCCTCCCCCCTTATAGTTAAATACGGGAAATATGGTAATGTAGTGTCTTTCCGTAAATATCTAAAAATAAGCTTTGCTTTCAATGACTACTTCAACAATGTTTATTTTTAATAAACTTTGTGGAAAGACAGTAATATGAGTATAGAAAAATTGGTACTGAAGAAAATCGGACCTCCCCCTTTCCATGAAATAGATTTTCAAGTTTGGGCGATTTTGCTTCCGTTTTTGTTTGTTTGTTTATTTTTTTTTCAGGTAAGTTTCAGGTCCCCCCCCCGCTTCGTCCCTTGTATACAATTGGGTCGGAAGGACTTCTGTTGCTCACTACTTTGTTGTTTTGGTGTAGTTTATGACTATATATATCATCTACCGTTTATGTATATCTAATGGCTCAAAATCAGAATCTGTCAGGAGCTGGACCGCTTGGATAGATTTCAGGAATCTCGAATACGTAAGGGTTAATGTACGAGTATCGCCCCATTCCTTAAAAGTAATGGAGCCGAGGCCCATTACTTAATATTAAAATCGCTTTTGCAAGTAATGCAAAGTTTTTCCTTTAGTTACCACACACAAAAGTTGTTTGATTAAACTCAGACTAGTATTCACTTATGTTCAGGTCAATAGTAATCTTTTATTCAAAAGTAGTTCACACTCGTGATCGAAGTAAAAATTTTGGTGCCAAAGGGAAGGATTTATTTCAAGTAAATATACACATGTGACATAAGAAAGCTCTATTACTAACCGTTCAAATGTTATGACTGAGCAGTATACAATTATTTAATGCCTGAGCAGTCAATAGACCAGAATATTTTTCCCGAGGTGCAGGGAACAGCTCAGTGTGTTCTATTGCCCGAGGCCCGCGGCCGAGGGCAATAGAACACACTGAGCTGTTCCCTGCACCGAGGGAAAATTTTCTGGTCTATTGACTGCTCAGGCATTAAATAATTGTTTTATTACCTAATTTTATTTTCCGTATTAAGTGTTCACAATTGTATATTCAGTACAGAAGGTTCCCGTACAGTGTACCATATTGTACAAATTTATACCTTGATATGGTGCATCTTTAATATTAATTAAAGATTGATTGTATAGACTGTTGTTTACATTCCTCTCGAAAATTTTTCACTTATATGGAGACGTCACCCGGAGAGGGACCTTTTTCGTGCCAGCAGTGCACCTACTGCGACACAGGACCTCGGTTGATAGGTCTCACCCGAAGGAATGGTCTCCACGTCCCACAGTGTTAAAAAGTAACCCTTATTAAATAAAATATCCGACCATTGAAATCACATAATTTTTAAAACCAATGTCGAAAGATCGAATAAGATGATTGTTTACCATGTCTGTGCAGTGTTACAAACAACTAAATTTAAAACCGGGATCGGTTTTTTCCGAAATACGTCGCCGGTCAATAGAACGCGCAGTCTATTGACCGGTCAATAGAATGCGCAGTCTATTGACCGGTCAATAGATCGCCAGTCAGTAGATCGGTTTGAAAAGATAAGAAAAACTGAAAACACATACAGAATAGATGAAAATATTTAATTTATAATAAAACAACAAAATTCATTGGATTAGGTAATAAAGACTATTATATGTTTCTGGACTGAGCAAGTAGAAAGATTTTGACGACAGACAGACAGACAGACCAGCCCGAATCCTCGGTTTTCTCTTATTTAGTAGACAATAATAATCTTATTTTACTCCTGATCTGCTACCGAATGAAAAACCTCTTCTCGATCGTAGGTTTACTGAACACTTGCTACAGATAAGTTTGCACGTGATATCGATCTGAATGGCTTTTGTTCAAGATTATCATCAATAACCCCCCCCCCCCCTTCCATCTGTTTCGTTTCATTAGGTATTACATGTACATCAGCTGTGACCTACTTTTCGTTTTAGCTAAATTCCACGTATTATCATGATTATTGAGTGTTAATGACTCAGAAAATCCTTCTTCCTTGTCTATATTGATAAAATATCTCTCTCTTGATATATGTGTGTGCGCGGTTCTTATAATATATATGATATGCATTATTTCTCCATTCATTTCTAATACTGACACACTTATTACCCGGTAAAACAGTGGGCAAGTTGTCTTGTGTGAAAAATAACATTTTCACTACTCTTAAGTATATATTTTCATCAATTCACATATGTGTATTTTATTTTATAGTTTCCTTGAATGTTTTATTTTAATTTGTTTAATTATGACGACGTGGGCATTTCATACGTTGAAAAGTCTCTATTATAATAGTTGTTCAATAGCCTCTTTGTTAAATATTACGAGTTCTTCAAACATCTTAAAGTACAATCTATACAGAAAATCAATAGAATGTTTACATATTTGATAATTTGCCTTTTTTTGGCTTCTGTTCCATTTGTTTGGAATATTTTAAGGCTTTAATTGTTTTCCACTGACTCCATTATTCGATTTTGTATTACATGTACGTATTTTTAGTGGGGTGAATAAAATTGCTAAAATTTCAAACAACAAAATAAAGTCCTTTTGAGTGTTAAACTCCGTTTCATTCTCTGTCTTAAAAATGTTCAGAAGAAAAATTCACAGCAAAATGTTTCGTCATTTTACGTTTCACTTTGGCATGTAACTTTATTTTCAATACGGGTTAGAGAAAAAGGCAGAATTACTGACGACCAAGATTGGGGGCTTGAAAAAGAATATGACCAACAAAAGACAATCCCAAAATTGTGGGGATGAATATACAAAAAAATTGGGGAGGGAAGGGCCTACTTTGACGGTGCATTGAATTTTAAAACAGCATACGACAATTGTTAGACCCCCCCCCCACCCCCTCTCAGTTGCCGTGAGTCTGAATATAGATATGGAAAACATTGCTACTACGAAAATGCAAATATTTTAAAAATTCCCAAATTATAATATTGGCCATTGAGTACAAAATGGTATAGGCTTTATGCCGCTTATATAGTCACATCACAAGGAATATTACTTCACCTTTTATATATATTAAATGAGTTTATGGTCAAGTAAAAATTATTAGCCGCGTGGAAGGAAAATCAATGTTAATACAAGTCTCTGTAGAAGTACTAAACAAATGATCGATAGTTCCTGGTAAAATGTATAGGCACCACCTCTGCCGACATCGTCTCAAGCCACGGGATTTGTGTCCATTTCATTTTCACAATTTATTTTTTGGACCAGAAATAGAGTGAACACAAAAGCCCAGCGTGGCTTGCGAAGATGCTCTGTCGACAGGGTTTTAATGGATTGGCAAACAACTAAACCCTGGATATTATATAAAAAAGATTACATGTACAACGTGCATGATTGAAACATTTTCTGGAATCCTTCCGGGGTCCCCTCCCAGAAATGTATTTTTCCTTTCCACATGAATTTTTTCTAAGGCAAAGCAATTGTATGTTTACACAATACAATTCCACTGTGTCCTTCATGCATAAAGAGACCGCGTTTTATGCATTTGACTAAATTTCGAATTAACCTTTTTTCTATCGATGGTTATCTGGTAGTTCTTGGCTTTATCATGTTTATCTCTGTGTTGTAGACATGCACAGATAAAATTATTTCTCTGGGTAGAAATGCAGGTGTCTTATTCAATAATAACTGTAAACAGGCATGTTGAAGGAAACATAATATCTGGTTTGAATTGAATTTTAGGGATCACTTTACATTTTGAAAAGAAAATTTGACCTTCATTATACAATGGGTAATTCAGTTGGTAGTCAACATCGTCAATGTGGCATATTATTTCCAGAGGGAGCAAATCGTGTTATTGCATACATTTAAACCAGCATGCAAAAATCCTGTGCAACATTTTCTAGCTCTGAGTTTTAGGAGAGACGGGCGTGCATAATTTTTTTAGCGTGCATATTTTTTAAAAGTATATTATCATTACCAAGGAGGGTGGTGACTATGTTAACACGTTGCAATTTAAATAGTAGCAAACGAGATAACAAAATTATCAGCAAAATAATCTTTCTTGGAAGAAACAGGGATCAGACGCCCCCCTGATTCCCCATATTACGTGCCCTGAAATGTTACATAAATCAGAAGCTGTTGGAGATAGGTCCATTAATAAAGAAACCGTCTGCCTGGCCGAGCGATTCTGTATTGATTTCTTCCTTTTATACTTGTCTATCTTCCTTTCCCCATTATACAGTATACACTCCTATTTACTGAGTACGTTAAACCAACGGTTCTTTTGGAGGACCTTACACCCTTGTTTAATAAGCATTGTCTTTTAGCTGTATACGTGTATACACATAAATAAACACACACGCACACACCCTCTCTCACACACGCGCGCAGAGAGAGAGAAAGAAAGAGAGAGAGAGAGAGCTTATTTAATATAGACTCCGGATGGAGAGAACTTATAAATGCATTTTACAGATTTTTTTTTACACGTGATATCCTTCCTGTTTATATCCTTCAGTTAAAAAAAAATTCCGCATTTCCTTGAGAAAATTTTATATATTAGTCGATAAAGAAGGAAATGAACTTCACAAGTTGAAAAAAAAAACAAACACATTTATTAGCTACAATCTTCATGATTTGGCAAGCAGCGTGAACAATTAATCACAAGTTAAATAAAAAATTGACCTTACATACGTACAACGCGCTTATCGAAAATATCTATGTAACATGTGCAAGGTACCCATGGGCATTCTTTCATTGATGAAATAGCGCTGTTGACATTACCATGTTCCGTAAACATTCTATACACTTTATTTAAGTCTTATACAGTAATATAAAAATCTAAATGTCCTCAGGAGGTATACATTAGTGTCGCAAATATCAGGGCTTTTATATTAATTTAAACTATGCACATCGCAAATGACCTTTTAAAGAAACATGTGTTTTATCGACGATGCCGATGGTTTAGAGTAAGATAAAGACTTACTTGATCGGCGCTTATTAAGCACAGTCACATGGAATATTATCGTTAGACCACAAAGTATCAGAATTCCATATCCGATCCGTTTAAAGAACCCCAGCTTCATTCTACCATCCTCACATGTTCATTGTGAGTAAACGTCACAATGAACCGCTTATCAGGGGGCGCCGTAAGGGGAAATCGATAGACTGTACATGTCGGGCTACAGGAAACTCAATAAGAACGTAGATTTTGATTATTCCAGGAAGTAAATCTCATAGGAGTGGTTCTGCAATTTCTTGGTTTTTGATCCTAATTTTCACAGACTTTGCATGGATTTAAAAATAACATATATTTAACTTCAATGTACATGTATAATGACCATATTTTGTACCTAATAAATGAATGATCCGATATTTATTATCATTGTAGCATTTGAAGATCTATGTTATCAAATAAAAATGCTCCACCAAAGGAATTTACAAAATTTTGATTTTTGTCCAATTGATTGCACCTTGAATTTTACATTGAAGTCTATGGACAGCGCATGTTTTCATCAGATATTGTAAAACTAAAACGTGATTTGAATTTCAAATAAATCTCTTGGTAAATATAATTATGTATAAACTCCCTCTTTATTAAACTATGAAATAAATAAATTATTTACCGCAGAAATTTTGAGAAAAACAAAAAATTTCTTCTTTTCATCTAGGGCAGATCACTCTTCAAACACTTAAATTTTAAAATGTGCAAAATGACTGTCTCTTTGCACATTATCAGTCTTGTGAATTTGGTTCATTTTAGTTTTATCGTTATCTATCAATGCGTTTTTAACTAGTTTAAAATTATTCAAAATCGTTCAAAATCCCTTCATTATACATTGAATACCTTAATTTATGGACATTTTAGTTTTGCATTATACATGTAGATCCAGGGGCCTGTACTAATTTAGTTGCACAATGTTGGGATGAATATATTTTGCTGTACGATTGTCTTCCTCTGTAGTACATGTAATTGATTTGCCATAATTAATTCGATCTATCTGATAGGAAGCCAGACTTACAGTAATTACATACTAGTAGCTAAAGGAGGGGGGGGGGGGGGTAGAGGAAAAAATCTTACACTGCGGAAGTGATAGAGATAGGTAGATTTTCACTTCTTTCAGAACCAAATGTTATGCATAATTAAATATAGAGTACTACATAAACCCTATTTATTCTGCTGCCACAGATTTAGGAATGAAGCTCATTTCAACTTTTGTTACTGTATACTATATAACATAACTTGGGGCAGTTTAAGCTTTGTAAACCTCGAAGCGCTTTATAAAAAAGCGTAAACTGCCCCAAGTTATGTTATATCGTATAAGATAAGTTGAAATAAGCTTCATTCCTTATGATTTAATATCAGTGTAGACAATGAGACAATTTTCCCCTCGGAAAAAGGCTTCAAATTTAGCATATTTTAAAAGTAACGTTTTTGACGTAACTCATTGTGACGTAGGCAAGTTATGTTATACAAAATGGATTAAATCTTTCACCCAATCAAATGACGTGTTACAAGTAAAATTAAATAATGATGGGATAGTCCGAAATATCTGACGTTTTCCATGCACCTTTTTACGAAACAGATCTTTCATTATGTATTTGCATATTTTGGATCAGAGGTTGTGCTCTATACGAAATATTGAAAAAAAATACTTCAAATTTAGGCCATTTTCAAAGGAATTTACAAGATATGAGGTTTATGGCGCATTTTATGACGTCATAATGCATTGACTAGAGGGAAAATTGCGTCATAATTAAAAGCTATATATGGTCACCAACACTCCAAGTGGTAATTACTACATTTGCAACCTAAACTGAGTGGTTTTGGTTTTTCAGAAATTTTCAAGGCCAAATAAGGCCCAAAGTGGCTCTTACTCTTTAACCATAAATTTTGAAGAGTTAGTACATGTAGTAGAGATTTTCTATTTCACATTGAATTGAATTATGGGTTTTGCAGAAAAAGAAGTAAATGTACTATCCAGCGAATATATGTGTTTTTAAAAAAAATTACTTTGTCATAATGTTCCTATTTAAATTCTATATAATGATTAAATTTGAAATCTTTGTTCTAAAAATCATTGTCAAATCCAAATATCAAATCATGTATTTAATTTGAAAAATTCCTATAATGCATGAATAATTAAAAAAAATCCTTGAGAAAGAAAACTTCAAATTATATCGTAGAATTGTTAATTGATACTCTTCTATATATATGATTTAGAATTCAGTTCTTTTATTTATAATATTTATTAGAATATGATACTTGTTGCTGAGCATTAAAAAGAATAAACAATACCAACATATATACCTCGATCTACATATCTACATCAAAATATTCCACCTCAATTAATATTAACTTACTTAAAACCGAACCTTTACGATATTCCGAGTCGTTTATTTTAATTGTAAAGAGAAATTGCATATTTTTTTCACAAGAAAATGATTGAAATAGTAAAACCAAGAAGCTTCAGGGGGCTTTGCATCTGGCCATTGGCCCCCATCAGGCCTTCTCACAGCACTTGTTTCGTATACGGGGCACCCCCTACTGTCCCGTATAATACATGTATAACCAGATAAATTTTGGTTATAAAATATGAAAACTGATTCCTGGACTAAATCCGTTGATGAATGTAAACGGGGAAGAAGGAATGTTGGCAGGTAAAATGAAGTAGAGGCGCTGTGGGGCCGTAATAAAACGAAAAGGGTAAAGGTACCGTATTCCTTATGATCTTCCAATATAAAGTCCAAAAATTGGAAAAATCAGGTTTCCGAATTTATTAAAGACGATGGTAAATAACAAACATGAATTTTAACAATATCTTGCGAGACAATCGAGTTAGTTGTGGCCGGTAGAGCATTCGGCCTCTAAACAGAAGAGATTATAATGGACATAGATATTTGACAATAATATATTTATGACACTAGCTGAGTTAATTGATGGACATGTGTGTTTCTTTGATAGAGTGGACATGAAAGAGCTTATAAAGTAATTGTACAAATATAAAGTAATTGATCCAGGATTAACAAATCCCGAGGCATTAACACTTAATGAGTAGATTCTTTTGGCAGAGTCACCGAGTGTCAATTAGACTGTCTTAATCCGGCTTCAAAGGGAATGAGATAAATAAAACTTAATTCAATATTAGCACAGCAAAAATGGATAAAGAATTTCACAGATAAAAGTCCAAATTTAGTATAATATTAAAAAGTTATTTTATTTTAAAAAATGTTAATTTTGCTCGGTGATGCATGTACGAAACAAGCGCCTGTGGGGCTTCTCCTTGGACCTATACATGCTATAGGGGCCCCACTGTGCCTCCTTTCGCCCCAGACCCAGGTTGCTCTTTGGGTACTGGTCAGTGTATGCTTCTTTTAAATTCTGGCTGCGCACCTGATACATCTGAAGTACGTGTAAAGTATGAGAGCATCAGTGAAATCTGTTTAATTAAAAATATTTTGTCGTGGTTATTTTTTTCTTCAAAATAATGTCACGCCACTTGAGGTCAAAGGATCAAAATTGCTGTTACTCAGAAGGTTTTAGGGATTGTTACAAGAAATACGTGTAGCATTATCTAATGGTTTTATATTTTAGTCTTTGGCCACTGAAAGACTAAAATATATATAAACCATAATATGCTATACAGTTCTGCAGCTACTTTGAAATAAGAAACCCTAGTCCTAATCCTAATCCTAATGCTAATTGTTAAAAAAAATTATTACAAGAGTAACCTCTAGTAACCTTTCAAAAGTAATGGTCAAGGTACTAGTAAAAGTTTATTCATAAAACGGTAAAAGTGGGTCAAACTGCAAGTCTAAGAATATATAAGAAGTCAAATATTTGAGTACCCTCCTCCCCTCGTGAAAAAGGGTTAAATTAGTGTTGCCAGGGGAAATGCATGGAAAACGTCAGATATTTCGGACTAACATTAGTCCGACATATACGTCTAGTCACTCTAGTGCCTATACAGTTTTAAATAAGTCAAGATGGGTAAATTATATCAGAGTTCATAGAAACAATTTTTTTTTCGTGTAGTCTTTCTAGTTCTTTTTATAGATTCTATGAAAACAGAAGGATAGATGGTTGGCACTCACATCTCATTTGATTATCGAAATATGTATTGTACACCCTATCCAATGACAGAAAACCGGAAGTAAATAAGATTTAGCGCGCTCTTTCAAAACACAAAACAACATGGGACAAATATCGATAGAATACGTGGTCTCATTCACTTCACAGGTAAATTTGCATTGTGATCTATGTGTATATTTAGAAATAGGGGGTTTAACTACGTGTTTCGTTGTAAATTCTCTGACATATGGTCATTTTTGCATAAAAAGTTCAACATGTACGCGGGAATCTTGATCACGGCCAAAATGAAGGATCCTAAGATTCCTATCCCAGTCAGAGGGGTATGAGCGGACTCAGGACAGAGGCTTAGACAATGGAGGAAACATGTTAGATTTGGGTTATAATTTTCTTAAACTTGCAATTTTTGAGGGGCTAAATTAATAAACATATTATTGTTAAAGCAATTACATAATGGTATACAGTGGACCTTCATATATCCGGACGCCAGATATCCGGATGCTTCAGTATCCGGACGCTTTTTCATCGGAACAGAAATTCAAAATGTTATTATGTCTTGTTTAACTGGTGATTCAGGTATCCGGACACTTCACATATCCGGACAATTTGACTGGGAACCAAAGCGTCCGGATAAATGAGGCTTCACTGTAGATATGTCACTTTTATGTGTCGCTGATATGTGATCACACAGTAACCATGGTAATTAAATTTTGAATTGAAATTATATCAGTCTGGCCTGGAGGTAAATTAAACATATATATTTATTAAAAGCTTTTGAGAAATGAAATTAAATATGTTAAAAAAATTGCTTTTAGGCCTAAAATAAAATATTGTTTGTTTGCAGTTGCCGACCGACCCACTGAAAATGTACCCGACCCAAACTTTTTTTTAGCCATTTTGTAATATAATTTTTTTTCTCCAATTTTTCAGGATATTAAAACCGTTTCATTTTCAATTTTTGTCTTCATCAATCATTAGTTTATACCAAGAGTGCAGATTATTCATGTAAAGTAGGCCTATGAAAAACTTTATTTTATGTTATCTAACAAAG